TGTGGGTAAAATAATAATAATACCCCGAATCACCATTTTCATAGGTGGGATTCAAACCATTCCCAGTCATGGGTGGTTCATGGCATTGTTTACCCACATTATTCTGTATCCCCCCTTAACAATTATAACTCCTAATAACTCCGATAACTAAGGTTATATATATCATTATAGCCCATAAAAATAACTTCTAGTTGGGCCATAACTTAGCATTGCCATTGCCATTGCTGCCAAGTAGCATTGCTCGCGACATTTCCGGATGCAGTGCCTCGCGGGACAATCTTCAAGGGGATCCATGGGGTACCATCTGGTAATTACCCTCTGGTAATTACCCTCTGGTAAACTAACATAACTATGGAAAATCACATTTTTTAATGGGAAAATCCACTATAACTGGTTATCTATATAGGTTTAACAAGGATTTTATAGTGATTTAATGGGATATTCATGGGATATTAATGGGATACTAATGAGATATTAATGGGATTACCATCTGGTAATTAAATGCAATTATCCATGGCTTGGTTTTCACGAGAAAATCGACTAACCGGAAACCCTTTTTGGTTTTTACCATCAAATTTGATGGGGGTTTCCGGTTAAAATGTTCCCATCTTCCAATTCTATGAAATTCATCAGTGATGAATGGGATTTTATAGATATTCCTGGGGTAATTGGGTAGAAAATGTTCGACGGCTCGCTATGGAAGCCACGGCTCCTATAAAGTTCCATCATTGCAATATTTTTTATACATGAAACTGAAACTGGTTTTCCACAGTCATGTCAACTTACCAAAGGGTAAATGAGGTATGGTTCATTGTTGGACATGACTACATGAATACAGCCGATTCCCAAACAGGAGTCAAACTACTTACTGCTACGCATTGACAAAGATCAGGGACATTCCAAGTAGGGGGTGCAATTCAAGTTATATATTTGGGTAAATATGCATGCATCTATACATATATATATATATATGTATATATCACCAATCGTACTCATATGAATAGAATGTTACAGTACCCACAAAACATCACCCCAACTTTACTCGCAAGTGGGGTGCAAACCATCTTTGAGCCGATCTCACCTGCGACTCAGCTCGACCAGCTTTGAGACCACACCGCGGACACTGCCTGGTTTTCGCACACGGTTGGAATGAATTTGTCGAATACCCTCTGGTAAACTGTTACATAGCGAACTGGAAAATCACCATTTGGAATAGGTAAATCATAAATCAACTGTTAACAAGCCATTTTCAATAGCTACCAGTAACAAATGACCAGAGGGTAAAAATGGCTTTGTCTGAACATGTTCCATGGGGTTTCCCATGGGAACCCCCCGAAAATCCCACGGTTTATCACCATGTTCCCTACTGGCAATTTGGAAAATCGTACCTTACTTTTTCAGACAAAGTAAAGCCACCATCAGCACTTAGATCAATGGGAGTCTCAGGATCCTAAAATGGAGGTATGTTACATTAGTACCATATTTCTGGCCATATGTTGTTGGGATATTCCCTTACATAAGCCTTAAACAAAGGTCTAAAAAATGGTAGGTACCTGCAATCACATGATGATAGGATCCAGTTCTATATGTGGGGGGGCCGCCGTTTGATAGCTAAGTTGGTGAACATACTTCCAATAACGGTTTATGACACTTATGACGAACTAGTATTCATGGGGTTTATAAAACAAACAATGCCTGGGGGGGCACATTGTATATATATATATATAATTATATAATTATATATATATAATAAACTGGTAAACAATACGTGGATGCAAATGGGTTGGTCAAAAACAAGGTCTCAAGATGGGGTATACTTCCAAGTTTTTGCGATCCTAGATGGGGCACTGATGGGGCTGAATGAGGCCCACTGGAAATGAACAATCCAAAGACATGTCAGGGATTTTTCAACAACACTTACAGCAATGATCAATGATAAACATACTATAGATGAAACAAATCCAAGGATTTACATAATATGTATATTTATATATATATATTCATTTATTTATTTGGATCATTGCCTGGGGACACCATGAGTCTTCCATCTGGCCCATCAGCCTCCATGCTCTTCTTCGGCCAAAGCCAGAAATTCAGAAGCCCTGCAGTGGGATCAGCGGGGTTCGATGTAACAAGAAATGATTCATCCTCCATAATTTTCAATTGTCATTTCAGGGACCTAAATTGGAGGTACCTACCATATATATATATATATATATACACATATTATGTATATATATTATGTATATATATATATATTATGTATATATATATAAGGCCTATGTAAGGGGATATCCCACCAAAATATGGACTTATATGGTACAATACTTCCATTCCAGGAACCGATTGATTGGAGGTACCTACCATATGATTTAGGCCTATTTCAGGCCTAAATTTCAGGGAATATCCCCCCAAAATATGGACAAACATATGGTACGTTTACGTACCTCCATGTATTGGATCCTGGAGATCTCCCATTGATCATTTCCAGCATTTCAACTGATTCAACTGTTCCATCTTTTTGGATCCCTCGTTTTTCAACATGGCAATAAACTACATTCCAAAGTGTACCAGACATTGGACAATCGGATATGGTTCATGAAACATCCCCAATCTGGTTGGTTAATAGTGGGATTCCGAGTTTATACATGATGAGATCATTCATCGCCTATCATGGTTGAGAAATGATGGGCTTATCAATATTGGGGTTATGTTGTGGTCATAAAAATAACAAGCCAACCAACATTTAATTTCTCAATGTCCCCGTTTTTGTTCCAGGGTCAATTCCTTTTAACAAGCTCCTAGCGACGGTCAGATCACCACTAGTTCAACAAACATGGCTTCAGCTGCTCAATTGCAAAGTGTGTGTATCTGTCGTCCCTTTATATGGCCTGGTTCAGAACGGGATTCCCATAATCGATTATAATAGTTCCCAATGCAATATATCTATGGGGCAGTAGAATCCCCAAACTAATCATCAACAGGGCTGAAGAGCAGCCACTAGTTCGAAGTATAATTGTTTGATTTACCCAACTATTACCAGAGATATTCCCTGTATATCCTCAGTATATCCTCAGTATATCCCCGGTGTTCCCAGATCTCACCTGTTTGGGCGAATGGTGCAAGGCAGCACGCGTTCCATGGCGGTACGACAATCGCGGTGTACGCACGTGCTGGCGGCTTAGAACTTAAAGGTGTGTAAGAAATGCCCCTTGGGTACCTACAATGTGGCCCCCCCCCCCAGTTATGTTTCTTGGCTTATAAACCCCATTGACTATAGTTATAAGTATCATAAACCATAATTAATAATTAAATTGTATCAGAACTATAAACCAACTTAGCTATCAAACGGGGGCCCCACATTGTAGGCTGGGTTTGATGTGTTCAATCTTCTTCAATTTTCCACTATGACTCTGGGGAAAAACACTATGAAAATCCGTGAAATCTATGTTGGTTGTTGCAGTTGGTCATCGGAGCCTACGAATCCCCCTACTGCATGTTGCGTCGCCATTCATCAGGATCCCAACGCCACACCGTGGGAACTGCAGCGTGGCAGCGTGGTGACGATGATCAGCGCCGAGGGGGTGGGAATCTGGGAACTTGATGGTTTTTCTACACTGTTCCCCTCTGGTTATGTCAAAATAGCTATTGAAAATGACAATAGAAATAGTGGATTTCCCCATGAAACATGGATATTGTCCATCGTTATGTAACAGTTTACCGGAGGGTATCCCATTTAAGCAAGAAACCGGCATATCTCCAAGCGGACTTGTAACCACCACGTTGACTCACCACCTGTCATACATTTGCAGGCTTCCTTAATGTCCTCAATGGTTCAATTTGACCCATGCAACACTCTGCCTACCAATGTGGCTGAATGCATGTATTCAGGAGGATTCACTTCATGTACCTCTTCTCTTGTGAAGTTCCTCGGATTTTCCAAGATGTGAACTCAAACATATATCAACAACAGATTAATATACCCTTTGGTAAACTAACATAACTATGGATGATAACAATTTCAATGGGTAAATCAACTATAAACGGCCATTTTCAATAGCTATGTTAGCTTACCAGAGGGTAACAAGGCTGATTCGAAGGGGACGGAAAATCATGCTCCCAAACAAGTTGGGTTTGCTCAATCCCGACCATCTTCAGAAGATTCCCTATTGAAATGAGGTAGATTTAGGTAGATTTAGGTAGTATAACTGTGTAACTCCCAAGGAATTGACCAATCAGACCAATCATTCATAGGATTTTATAGGCCCCCTAATTATAAGTTGGTTTATAATCCCATCTAATCATAATTATAACATAAGGACCATAAACCCTATAGCTATTGTAGTTATTTGGCCTAACTTAGCTACAGTATCTTGCAGGCCCCACATTGTTGCCATTGCCAACTCGGAGACCACCCCATCTTCCCGCGGCCTCCCACAGGAAACTCCACATCAACATCGTACATCACAGTGAGCCTAGAACGGTGACTTTGTGGTGCCCGAGTTCGTTGAAAAAAGCGGTGAAGAGAACTAGCTAGCTCTAGATTAATTAATTAAGGATCACAGATGTTTACGGCAGGTATCAGTACAATCTATATAAGGTTGGTATAAGGTCTATTCACCTCATCTATATGAATACACATATATTTCCCCATAAACCCTAGCTATTCTAGATATAAACCAACTTAGCTATCTTGGCGGCCCCACCTTGTAGATCCTTGGGGAGAAACCAGTGACCACAAAGCCGAAGCTGTATGTTGGACTCCTGGACCTACCTTTTTTCTCATCTGCAGTACCCACCCAAACAAAGACTGTGAATTACAGTACTTGGTGCTACTCATGTGCAATACCAACCTAGTCCAATATTAGAATATATAGTTGAATTCCCCACTAAGGCACTACTGGTAGTTTTATGTACCCTTTGGTAATTTAACATAGCTATGGAAAATGACAGAAATAGTTGATATACCTATCAAACATGGTGATTTTCCAGTTCGCAACATGTAAACGTTTAGCAAAGGGTAGTTTTACCATGAATCACCATATTTTGTTTTCATGAACCACTATTCATATCTATGAAAATCAGTATTAACCACTATTATTATGGTAGTTTTAGACTTTTTTTCTTCTGTAATGTTGGGAGTGGTGTTGTGAAATCCCGCTAGCCGAGACGAAGCAACGCATGGATCATCCAACAGAACAGTTCTCCTCGTTGTGAATGGCTTCAACTCGTTGGGTTGCTAAGAAACGAGACCTATAACCGACTGCATGACTAACTGGTAAGAATGCCTCTTAGATGATGGGATTCCGAATCATTTACAGATAAATCCATGTAGATTGTTTAATTATCCATCCATATAGATTATTTAATTGGACCATACCGCTATTTCATCCACACTTTCCTCCAGTTTTAAGTTCGAACACGGGTCTCCAGTGAACTGACGCCCTTTGAGCCCCGAACTCTGCAGGTCGACTGCTCACGGGTTCATCTGGAAAGGGCAGCTGAAGCACCACGGATGGAACTGGCACACCTGGTGAAGCTGCAGTGATGATACAGTTATGGTCATTTATCAGTTATAAGTACTTATAACCGATAACCCCATTTATAGAATGTATAATCCCATTTATAACCAGTTATATCTAATAAATGGCCATAACTGTAGCTTCAGATAGGTGGAGTTCACCAAGAATCAGATTCGTACTGCTGTTTTTTTCTGCAGTATTCAAACGAGGAGTTGAAGGGATTTAAGCAACCATTCTAAATGTGTTTTTATATACATGACTTTACCATAATATGGGAAGATCAGTGGTAGATAATCAGATAGGAAGCAACTAATAATCAATTGAGGGAAGTGGATTCTCAAGGTTGATCAGAAGGATGTGTGGCTACAGTCAGGGCCAGGGCTCGAATAAAAGAGGTCATATGAGAACAGTATTCCGTGCCACATTGAGAAAATTATGTGAAGAAGCAACATCTCTACAGGATATATCCAAATGTGATTTTATACACCCTGCATTCGTGTTTAAAGCTGATCGACTAATTAGTAGATACTGCATCCCAAGTCGTAACAAAAAAACATTACTAACCTACCCATCCACTGAGTTTTACCATCCAAGAATATCGGGCACTTCCGGCAACATTTCACTTCTATCCTTGTGTCAACCAATTCTGCTCCACATCGAAACACTTCTTTCTCCGTAGTGGAGTGGGAAAAGGAGATTCTACCCAACCCTTAACAAACGATGCTTTGTAATAGATCCTAACTTCATGTGGATGTTCCAAGTTCTTGTTTTAACTGAAACTAAATCTTCGTTGAAAAAAACAAGTCTCTTTGTTGGTCAATGGGTTCTGGAATTCCCCAGAGCTGGAATGATCCGGTGCATTGGTTAAAGTTAAGGGACTGGGTTTATTTTCGCTCTTGTATAGCTAGCATTAATCTGGTATAATTTTATGGTAAAAACACTCCGCTTTTTGGCGCAACAAAATCCAGACCTTTTTTTGTGTTTTTCATCACCATGTTTTAATTCTGAATATCTCCCAGCCGTTGATGGTGGATCCACATGCGAACAAAAAAACAAAATTCTTCGGATAGTCCAATTCTTCATGCGAAAAATCTGTTGACCTGTTGACCCTCCGGAATAATACCCTCTGGTGAACTAACATAGCAATGGAAAATCACAATTTTTCATGGGAAAATCCACTATAAATGGCCATTTTCCATTGCTATGTTAGATAACCCCCAAAAACTGGTCTCTTCGTACGAAAAAATCAAAACCTTGTGCTCCAAAGGCCAAAGGCGCGTTGTTTCGACTGAGGAGCCACTCCAGCCGTGAGAAACTCACCATATTTTCATTGAGGAAATCATAACTGGTTGGTGGTTGACCTACCATTGGTTAAGGTAATATACCTGGTTAATAATGGTTATATATGGTTATGATGATGGTTAATGATGGTTATATAATCATAACTGGTTGGTGGATGAGCCACCTACCCCTCTGAAAAATGATGGAGTTGGGAATTGTTGGGATGATGAACTTCCCAACTGAATGAATAAAAATCATGTTCCAAACCACCAATCAGAGTACGTTTATGATCTATAAATGGGTCATATATACCATACAATGTGAGGCCTCCAAGATAGCTAAGTTGGTTTATAAGTCCAATAACTATGGTTTATGGTATTTATAACTATAGTTACTGGGGTTTATAAACCAACAAACATCACTGGGGGGCCTCACATTGTAGCTATGTAAAACATCACCTTAAAGGGTCAATTTCCCCATAGGATCTTGAAATCCCCACCCTGCTCTCCTGGGCCAAGGCACTTAAGGTGGTCGCCGGCAGACTTCGAGCGATCAAAGAAGACAGGAAAGATTGCGAACAGATCTCCTGCGGAGCTCTGCGCATCCCTGAGGTGCTATTTTTGTTTTAAGGTGAAAGATACTTTTCAGGTAATTCCATACAAGTCCAGTTTCTTTTTTGGCAGGATTCAAGGTTCTGAGCTATCTCCATCTATGTACCATTGGTTGCATGGTTAAACAATGTTAAACATATTATTAAATATTGCAAACTCGCATTTGGTGGTTGGGTAACGCGTCTTCTTCTTGGTTGAATTCGAATCTTTGATGGTAATATGAACCTGCTACATGCCAGTTTCTTCCTTTTTTTTGATTCGACATGGATCCAGAAAATACGATCCCGCACGGCCGGGGAAGTCATCCATGACATCTTTGAAAACACATAAACCATCATAAACCAGTCTTGGATGGGACCAACTCATTGAAACCCACTTCTGTACCTTGACCCATACCTACCATGGCTCCCATGCTCCACCATTTTTTTGTGGCCAGTTCAACAACCCAAAGACCTGGCAATTTCATGCGATTTCGGGTATTGCGGTATAACCATGATTGTGTTGTAGAGCCACCCAAACATACTGTACAATGTGCCCCTAGCTATAAGTTGGTTTATAGCCCCGTCTAAATATAGTTATAACATGTTATAACTACCATAAACTCTAGTTATCGGCCCAACTTTGCTATCGAACGGGGGACCCACATTGTATACAATGTGGGTCCCCCGTTCTATAGATAAAACAAATACATTTACAACATTGGGGATCGGGCTTAAGCATTTACAACATTTACAACAGTTACAAGCCAGTAAGAACCCATCTCCCAAGTTCAAGGGCTTCAAATGACCCACCCTTTTTAAAAGGCAATGCATGGCAATGCCTTTCCCAAGAATTAGATTCCGCAAATGGCAGACTAACCAATTCGAAAATCCGTTATTCAACAATTTGCAACACCAGTTTGGTTGATGAAAATCCAATTCGCAACACCAATTGGAAACGATTTCCACCACCCAGTTAGGTAATGAACATTGTAATTAAAACCAGTAAGTTAGGTAATTCAACAATCGCAATTCATTTCCCAATTCTCAGGTCCGGTCATGAAAACCACTTTGCTTCAACCACTCCAGAACCCTTTGAGGCCATGTCGCCATGTCCTGTACCGAGGCCAGGTAAGTGGAATTCTCAGCCAAGTTGGAGAAAGTACAGGAGGTGAGGTTCTGAGCGCAGCAGAGCCGCAGTTCACGAAAGGAATTGGGATGGATTTCAGTGGAAGAAATTTACCCTCTGGTAAACTAACAGTTCGACCCTGGCAGTCATCGGGGTTGGAAGATTAGTGAAACAACTAAACAATGGCTATTTTCAGGGTCAAGCTGTTAATTTACCAGAGGGTAAACAACCGTATGAAACATGGGGCTTAAACACCCAAGATATCTGAACAAAAAAACACCTTGTACCGCAAAAGACTCTGGAATGGACAAAGCAAAAGAACGTGGAAAACCCATTGGGGGGTCATTTCACCATATCCAATTTCTGGTTTACTCAATGCCATTGTTACATCTATTGGGGATGGTTTATGGCATGGGGTTTACATCGTTGACATGATGATTCAGCCAGTCAAGTGATATTTTTTGATTTAACTTTGTTGGGAGAACACGCTATGGTTACCATCAACCCGGTATTTTGTTCTCCCTTAAATCGAGTCTGATAATATTTCCGCACCCCAAAGTGGTTGGCAATTTCAGCCGATCTGAAAAGAACTGATCATCCAGAGCTTGAATGGGAAGAATGGGACTTCTCCTAAAAAAAAACACTGGCTTACAGTTATGGTCATCTATCAGTTATAAGTACTTATAACCCCATTTATAGAATGTATAATCCCATTTATAACCAGTTATAACTGGTAAATGGCCATAACTGTGTTCTGTATCTTTTTTTGCTGGTAACCCCTCTTGTTGGTGATCTTTCCCCCTGAGGCAGTGACTGCAGGCTGAGGTTTCGTTGGGATAAGGAACGTAGGGTGAACATAAACCAAGGAATATACGGTTTTCTGCTTGGTGGGTTGGAACATTTTTTTTGATGAATTTCCATATATTGGGAATTTCAGCATCCCAACTGACTTTCATATTTTTCAGAGGGGTTGAAACCAACAACCAGCCTCTGACAGGGGAAATGGTCACACGGGGATTTTTGTCAGGGAGATCGTGGAGGAACTTGTGGAGGAACCTCTTCTACCCCAAAATGACGATGCCGGTAGCTGCCAATGTCCCAGTAAGTTTGCACCAAAAACACTTCCTGTTTTTGAAGGATACCTGAGAAGTGAAAAGCTGTTTCATAGATGTCTGTTGCAAACATGCAGTCGCCAGTCCATGCAAGACTCTCAAATGAAATTGATGGCTGGCTCGAGCGTTCATCGAAACTTGGACATACTTTAGCTCAGATGACTGGCTTGACACCCGCATCATTGTAGATGAACATCTTCAGTCAAACTCACTGCCGGTGTCATCGGACTCATGATCAACAGGCGGAGTAACAGGCGGCAGGCAACAGGCGGTGTGGTCTCTTGCTTGGGCGATTCAAGGATTGTAGATTGTCAACTGAGGCCTCAAAACGTCCTGAGAGACAGCCGTTTAGACCTTGCAGGATCATTTTATAATATTTTATAATCGGTATAACCGTGGTGGGTAGCTTCCATAAGTTAGGATATATGACCCCATGAGCTACCTTGTTTCCAGGACGTCAGAGACCACATCATCCAAAGCTCGACCTGTTTGTTGGAGTGAGATGTAAAAGGCAAAAACGCTGGAGTAGGTTCTGCCATTGGGGCAATGTTTGCATTTTATAGAATTCACATAGCCTGAGGTAATCAAAGATGACAGTTGAAAATCAACCACTTATAGTTGATGTTCCCATTAATACATTTTTTTTAATAACGGATTCTCCATTGCCAAATTTGATTACGACATATTACGACGGGATTTCCAACAAAATGATCCCCTCCACAAGTTCCTCCACGATCTCCCTGACAAAAATCCCCGTGTGACCACTTCCACTGTCAAAAACTGGTTGTTGGTTTCAACCCCTCTGAAAAATATGAAAGTCAGTTGGGATGCTGAAATTCCCAATATATGGAAATTCATCAAAAAAAATGTTCCAAACCACCAACCAGAAAACCGTATATTCCTTGGTTTATGTTCACCCCATTGACTAGTTCGATATAGAATTATGCATTATGTACCAATACCACCCTGGTGATCTCAGAGGACACCAACATGGAATCACCATGTTTTGGGTGAAAGATGAGGCCATTTTCCGACTAGTATGGTTTCCCTACCCATAGGATCCATGTATGGTAAATATGCTAACATTTGAATATATATATATATATATTGATGGTAAATGTTACCATATATAGCATACATGGATCCTATGGGCTATGGTTTTCCCGATGGGTTTTCCTGGGTACTATGGCGAACCGTTCACGTTTTCGTAACGGCACTGGAACCACTCTGGGTCTCCCCGGCCCGAGCAGACAGGTGGCAGCTTGCAGCTGATTGACCTGAGATTCGGCGAAGAGATCAGGTTCATTCAAGAACTATATATATATGTAAATAAATGACTATAATGGTGATAAATAGGTATATAACTATAAACTATGATAACTATATGATATGGATTTATTATGGATAATTCAAATTATTCTATATCTCAAGCTATTGGGGATCCCCCATTTATGGAATACCTCCATTTCTGGAAAACCACCATTTACTGGGGGGTAAGATAAACATATCAGAAACTAATAAACAGTCAAAAAGAAGCGATAGGTATATATCAATAAACTATTACAATAGTGATAGATAGGTATATATCTAACTATAAACCAACAAACCATAAACCAACAGAACCCTAGTAACTTGGTATATAGTTATATAGAACCTAGTTCTTGGTGTACCATAAACCCTAGTTATTGTAGTTATAAACCAACAAAAACCAACTTAGCTATCTTTATACAGAAATATTTATATTATATCTATAATATATGGGTAAATTATAATATTTCACTAACCTGAATCTTGCGGCCATTTGGGGATCATTTCCCTAACATAAACCAAGATTATTTAAGGCTCGGGAGAACAGAGGCATACAATGAGTGTAGTGAGATGGTTCAATGAATTGGTAAACCAACAAAAATCTATTCTTGTGGATGGTTTCAGCCATCTTGAAAAATATCAGTCAATGGGAAGGATTATCCCATATATTATGGAAAATAAAAAATGTATAAAAATGTTCCAAACCACCAACCAGTATTGTATTAAGTATTGTATAGATGGCTATTTATGGTTGATTTACCTAGTAAAAAAATGTGATTTTCCATAGTTATGTAACAGTTTATCAGGGGGTATGTATAGTTGTTTGGGATCGTAGGATTTACTGAGATGTCGATACGATTGTTTTTTCTTTATATAACAATTGGCGTAAACCACCTATAGATTGGCCAATGAAAAGGAAAAACATGTTTTCAAATAGACAATGAATGAAAATTGACCACATATAATTGGCCTCAACTCAATCAGCAGCGTGCCCATGCTGGACCTGCAAAGATAATGATTCACAGGAGTGATGGGGCAATCTGTCCCCATCAAAACCAACTATCCTCTGGTAAACTGTTACATAGCTATAGAAAATCACCTAATTTTTAATGGAAAAATCAACTATAAATGGCAATTTTCAATAGCTTTGTGTATGTTTACCAGAGGGTAAGTGGTCATTTGATTGATGACTTCAACATTTCAGCCTAGGGGCCAATCCAAAAATCCGTGAGCAAAAACAGCATGCATTTCAACGTATCCCGAAAATATGAAAGTCAACTAAGACAACCCAGGTTCCATGGTTGAAAGCAATCAATATATATATATATACACTGTATACATATTATATTATATATATATCATATTATATCATATTATATTATATCATTATATCATATTATACTATATTATATTGTATTATATCATATGATATGATATGATATAATATTATATTATATTATATGTATATGGTTCAAAGAACCAACCAGGGCATGATCGCCCATTAAGGGGTCCATCTAAGTAGCAGAAGGGCAAGCAATCCCAGTTCGATCAATTTCGCTGCGGTTAGCTCATGGAAAGCTCCCTAGGTGAAGCCACCAACGTAGTTGGTTTACAAACTAGTTTTGTTATGGTTTGGTATGGATTATGGTCTATGGTGTATGTGTATCTATGGTGGGATTATAAACCAAGAAACAAAAAAAAGGGGCCTTTTACTCTCTAGAAATTTAACATTACTATGGCAAATCATCATGTTGATGGGTAAAGCAGGTAAATCATCTATCAATGGGCCATTGTCCCTAGCAAACTGCTAAATTACTGAAGGGTAAATCCCCTTGTATCCCAATATTCCCAATATAATCCCATTATATCCCTATAATTCCCTGTTGTTGTTGGCCCAAACCACCATTTTTCCAAGCAAAAAATGACACCATGTCTTATTATCCGTTGTCACCAAGAGTTAACCATGATTCATCCTTACTATCATTGTTCGAGGATGTTAAATTACCAAAAAAAATCACCATGATTAACCCTGTATCCCTTATCAACCTGATCAAGGATCTTAAAATTACCATTTTCCTATGGTTTCCCTATATCTCTATGGTTTTCCTATGGTTTTCCTATGGTTTCCCTATGGTTCTCCTATGGTTTTCCCATGGTTTCGTTCAGCTTCAGCTTCGGCAAACCACTGTCACCATCCCCCAGGGCCCCATGTCCGGGTCACCGTCCGAAGTATTCAGCCGCACGTCCCAGGAATCAAAGGTGCAATCCTTCAGCGGCGCCAGCCGATGGTCACCGTGACCGGGACCGGCAAGTTTTCACACGTTGTTTGGTTTGTAAGGGATCTTGTTGAGTTGTAAATCACTACTGAAATTTGGACTAAGAGTTTTTTTTACAATGGGCTTATTTCATGATATATAGTTGTAGGAGTTATAATTCCATTTATAACTGTTAGTTGGGCCACAACTGTATTGCTTCAAATCATTGCTCAAATGTATCCTTCTATGGGATTCCCTCTTTCAGGGGATCTAAAGTTCTAAAGTGTGTGTCCCTTATTTCCCTTAAATCATCACAAACCCATGATATCCCCATTCTGAATGTGGCTATCCTCATATCAATGGATTGGTTTAAGGCTTAAGGAAAAATTTACAGGAAACCATAGACTTTCCCATTAAATATGGGGCTTTCCTGTAAATTTTACCTTAATCCAATCCATTGATCATATGTTTACCAAAAATTCACCATATATTTTGGCTGGTCACCGTGGCTGGTCACCGTTGATTTTGGGTAAAAATTCTCTCAAGGGATCCCAGGATTGGTCGACAGTAAGGACAACACCTATATCTATAGATATATAGTAAATACTTGTTGGTGTTCTAAATTACTATAAATATGCATATATATTATATATATAGTATTTATATATATAATTATATATAGTAAATTAACGTGCATAGTGTTATCCATAAACACACAAATATCATATATCATATGGATACAAAAAACATATGTGAGTTCTATGGCCGCATATGTTGAAGGTCTCAACCCATATGTCATTCGACCAGTTCTGAAACCGAGATCCCCCACGTTCGCATCACCAGCCTGGCTCCAAACAAACCCGGGTCATCAAGGAACTCTGAGGAAAACATGCAAACATCAAGGTGATATAATGGGATTTAACCAACACAAATTCTGGTTTAATGAGATTTAAATAACCTAAATGGAGATAATCATAGGATAATCATGGAACAAATGAGGTTTAACGGACGATTCAACGGTGATTTCATGGTAAAGTGATGTATTTCATTGGAATTTCATGAGATTTATCAGAATGGTGATTTAATGTTGATTCAATGTGGATTTATATATATATATATACAAATGTGGATTTAAATATATATATATATATATATTATATATATATATCATATATATATATCATATATATATATATATCAGGTATCTAAATAAGAAAAAGAAGGATCCCTCTGATTCAACCAACCAAATAAATGGATTAATCCAACCTATATATAGCACATTATAGCAATAAATAAATAAAAAACACATCATGTTCAATAGGTAACATGTAAATCATGTTCAATAGGTAACATGTAAATCATCTTCTCCAGAGTACATGGTCAGCACCAAGCTATCAGCTTGAGCAATCAGCTTCATAGCTGTTTCATGCTGTTTCCACCACACTCGACAGTTGGGCGTTGGCACCAAGCAGACTCTCATACTTTGGTTGAGCTTTCACTGCTGCTCGAATTGCGATTTGCACGAGATTCGGTATTGCTGACCGACGCATCACTTCCATTCCTTGGAGTCCCAACAGCTTTGCGTAAGGCCGGACTGCTCCTGTGCGTCGGTTGAGAGACGAAAATGCTGTCTCCAAGACATCTTTTTCAGCCTGCAATGCCCATAATGGGATCGTGCCCAAGCGAGCAAACTGACCGAAACGCGAGCCAGGACCCCAATCAAACCCAAGTTAACAGGCTGTGAAATGCCTATCAACCTTACCACCACATGTGTGCGAAGTTTCTCAAACACATCGATAACCCTGCAAGCAGCCTTTGCAGCAGTGAACTCTGGAACAAGGTAAGCTGTTCCGAAAATAGGATTGCATCCCGATAGCCTGCAACTTCGACCAAGTTCTTAGCCCTCCTGGCCATCTTAGCCCTCCTGGCCATGTAAATGCTGAAGTAGCCGTTGGTTGAAGGGGGCTTTCCAACCAGCAAAAGGAAGGTGAAGGCATATGCCAAGATGTAATCAAATCCTACTGTTTCAGAAGTGCTTGATTCAACTGAACAACTGTTGGTTGTTGCACAAGCTCCCGAGTCACATTTGCATCAAAACCTAAGGCTATAGCTTTCCAACGCGATCATGAGCGTTTTTCGCTGCCGTGTGGAACCTGTGAAATCACCACAATCAGTGCTGTCGCACAACAGTGTCACAAGAGCAACCGCCACCACAAGGACAATGGTTTTGTTTTGTTGCACAGTGATGATCTTTTTGCACGGCTTTCAAGTGCTAGTGGTCCAAAAAGGTGTTCTTTTCCTTGGCATATGTTTTTTTTCTGTGGAAATTTGATAATGTTTGGTTTTAGGAGCAAGAACGAGGATTGAAGAACTGTTTTTGGGAAATTGCAAAATGACATAGCGTTGTTGGTTTGTACCACTGGACCAATGGACACCCATTATTTTTGCTTGAAAACCGTTGAACACTGCACGCTTCAGTCAATTCGCCCAGTTCCTGTCTCTTCTTGGCAAATGCAGCCGATATAGGCCACGTAAAAGCATTTGAAAGGTTTCACAGTTTTGGCCCTTCAGAGTTATAAATGGAATTTTAACTCCTCTAACTTAAGGTTACAAATCATGATAAATCCATAAACATAACTGTTTGTTGGGCCATAACTGAAGGTTTCACCAATCATGAAATCTTCGTTTCCGAAACAGAAATGCCAACCGCCAACATAGCCATGGTGGCATCCACATCCCATCCGACCAGCTCGAAGTGACGACGTATATACCCTCAAATGGTCCCTTAAATGGGATACAAAATGGGTTCCCCAAACGATAGCTAAGTTGCTTTATAAGCAGGTTAAGTATGGTTTATGGTAGATATATCTATAGTTATATAATGGCGGTTATAGACCAACTTACAACTAGGGGGGCCACATTCTACCAATTAATGCTGATTAATACTGAGTAACTATCATTTTTGGAATTATTTCATCTGTGGATTTCACCAAAAATATGGGATTTAAAATGATTTCACCAATGGAACTATAATGGAATATGTATGTATATATATATATATACGGTACGTATATATATATATATATGTATATATATATGTATGTATATACATATCCATGTATATATATATGATTATATTTATATATATATATATATATACAATTATATATATATATGATTATATATAATTATATATATATATAGTTGTACGCGGTTTTCAAACAAACCCAAATATCATATAAAGTTATAGTTCTATCCCGGTGTACGCCCAGGATATCCCTATGTTTGATTGTTCAAACCCTCCCCGAGGGGTGTTTTAAACCCCCTGTGGTTCCTTGAACAAAAGGGCTGGTAGTAGGGATTCCCCAAACGGAGTAATTATGATGATCCGCATTTTTAAATATATATATATATATAAAATCCCCTATGATTCATTATTTTGGGATATAGGGATCCCCTACATAACTATTGGAAATCACCATTTTAATGGGTAAATCAACAAACTCAATGACCATTTTCAATAGTTATGTAACAGATTACCAGAGGGTAATCCCCAAAATAATCATCAATCAGCCATCATTCATCAGCTATATCCACTGATATCCCCTACAAGTCAATGGGTAAAACATTGTAAAACCCCGACCAAAACAACGAACTATGACAAACTAATCATCAACCACAGTTATGGTCATTAAGTTATAAATGGACTTATAAATCCTATAACTAAGGTTACATATCATTATAAAGCCATAAATATAATATACATATATATATATACATATTATCTGATAGTTGGGCCATAACTGAGTCGGCTTTCATTCACACAAACCACATCAACCGTATCAACCGTGGCCACCTCGCCTCCCATGTGAGGGTCAATTGACCTACCGCGCTGCTGATCAGCAGCAATCCCCGCGGCAGCGTGGCACTTTTCAGGCACTCAGCACCTGGGAAAGTCCATGGTTATCCCGTTGGGACCTACCTGGGCTATACATATGCTTGACATCTATGAATATGTATATTAACCATGGTTATTAACATAAATATGGTTATAAATAAGGTTATAAATATGGTTGTAAATATGGTTCAAGTCTATGAACCACTATAATGTCATGAACATTCCTGGATATCCCGATATCATTCCCATTCATATCCCATTTAGGTCACTTTGTTTTTCCCATGTAACCATCACCTTGATGTTTTTTTTCTGTGCAACTGAACCCATGGTTAATATGGTTAATGGTTCATGTGAATATATGGTTTTTACATGTTTTTACCATAACTTCATGTTAATACTGTTAATTTATGGTTAATGCTGGTTAATATACTGTTAATATATGGTTCCCCATCTTCCAACAGACCCACGGCCACCTGCAGTCGTCCTGAAGACTGTGGCATTGCCAGTGCCACTGTTGGCCAATGGATCAGAGCATCGGGCACTGACACGAGCCTCCCAGCTCGGCTCCACAACGAGGAAAACGAGGAAAACGGGGGATGCAGGGTTGATTTATCTTATCCCATAGGATCCATGTATGCTATATATGCTAACATTGGGGCTATATTGATGGTAAATGTTACCATATATAGCATACATGGATCCTATGGGTATGTATGATAGCTAAGGTTAGGATTTACCATGATTTACCATCGAACAATTGGATAAAATTGGAATCTAACATGATTTAACCAAGAAAAAACAATCGTGTTTTTCTTGATGACGATGTGCCCATTCGATAACTCGCCATAGAGGGTACCATCTCCACCCTTCCCTAGTGGTTGTTGGTGGTTAAGCCATTTAGTAGCCGTTATCCAGGACCCTGCAAGCCACTTTCATAAGCCATTGAGATGCCTTTCATAAGCATTGAGCCATCAGCCGTTACTACCCTCTGGTAATGACTAACATAGCTATTGAAAATGGCCATTTATAGTGGATGTACCTATTAAAAATGGTGATTTTCCATAGTTATGTTAGTTTACCAGAGGGTAAGCACTTGTTGATCCTGTGGGGGTGATGAGTAGAACCGCCTGCCTGGAATTCCGTGTCACATGCGAGGTGCGTCAGTGTGCAACCTGCGGGAAAAAGGACGCCATGTGCCATGGGGGTGTACCCTCCGGTAAATCTACAGGAAACCATGGTTTTTCCCAGCAAGAAACAAGGGCTTTGCTGTAAAAATAGGGGAAAACTCTGTCTGTAGATCATTAAACCAATGTTGTAAACTATAGTAAATGTTCCCTTCAAACTATAGTAGATGTTCCCTTAAAACTATAGGAAATGTTCCCTTAAACCAATCCATTGAAAAATAGGGGAAAACACTGTCTGAGAATCATTTTCCCCTAGGGAAACTAATGTTTTTCTACGTCTATGTTCATGTAGCCTAAGGTAATAGTCATATAGCAGAGGTATAAAGGGTATAAAGCCATGACTGGTTGGTGGTTTCAACCCCTCTGAAAACTATTAGTCAGTTGGGATGATTATTCCCAATATATGGCAATATATGGAAAAATAAAAAATGTTCCAAACCACCATCCAGTAATATAATTACAATAGAAATGGGGATTTCCTAAAGTGGAGGTACCCCAGTCATCATCCAAGTCATGGATGGCCATGACTTAGTATTGAAACAACCATGGTAACGACTGGGGATCCATCTTAAGAACCCGAGCCGGTCATGGTCTGGATCCTGCCACCCCACCTGTGGCACTCTGAGTCAATGCGGCACAACCAGATGGATCTGCACGCCATGCTCCATCATACAACTCCACCTGTAGGACAGACTCCAAGTTCGATGGCTGTCTGTTGGTTTATTTGCCGAAGATATCTACGGTTAACTGGGAAATTGAGTACAAAACAAATGATTTTGATTGTGGTAGGTAAGTTGGTTTACAATTGTGGTTAAACAGGGTCTATTTGATAAATATCTAATATATCAATAGTTGATGTTAGATATATCTAAAATATCTAATATATCAATGTTGATGTTAGATATATCTAAATATCTATTTGATAAATATCTAAAATATCCAATATATCTATATATAAGACTAGACCAACAAAGATGTCACTGGAGGGCCCTTCCAAGCCTGCAGATTTTGCAGGTGGTCGGACATCTGGAGAAAATAATCAGGCAATATCCCTTGTACCTTCTGGTAATCCAAAAGTTTGCTATTGAAAATGGCCCCTTTGCAGAAGATAAAACCCTTTCAGCAAATCGTGGTTTTCCACAGCAAGCTCTTAGACTAACAAAGGGTATCCCCATTTGATCTCATTCTGGCAGAAGATTAAAGTATCAAACTACTTGTCACCAGTTGGGGATATGTACCCATGGTTTCCAATGAAATAATCATCATGATTCTGTCAGCCCTTTCATGATTCTCTTCAAGGATTACTAATAAAAAATAATGGCTTCACCTAACCCCCACCTTCCCTTTTTGCCGGTCATAATTACCCACCAGGTGGTGCCAACTGCACATGTTCTCGCCTGGTAACCCTGCAGAATGCAGTCGTTCGTGGCAGGCCTGGTCCATGTGCGGCTTTTTGAACATCTCGAGAAGTGGAGGACCGAAGAAACTGTCTAAAATTGGCCTGGTCCATGTTACCCAAACTTAGGATTCAAATATGTTGAGCAGTTTGTTCGGTTTATCAATAATTTCTACCAGGTTACCCAATGTTTACGATCCTGGTTGGTGGTATACCTACCCCTCTGAAAAATCTGAAAGTCAATTGGGGTTACTATTCCCAACTGAATGGAAAGCCATAAAATTCCATGGTTCCAAACCACCAACCAGTAATATGTTTTAATTCCATAATTACCATTTGGTTATTTAACATAGCCATGGAAAATCACCATGCTATTAATAGGTACACCATCTATAAATGGGCCATCTATACCATGGCTATGTTAGTCATAACCAGAGGGTAGGTGGGCAAATGGGGTAACTTACTGGATGTTATAATACCAACTAGTCATTTATTTGCTAGACATGTCTATAATTAGACCAACGTAATTAAATAGAAGGGGTGTTAAATACCAGCTAACTAGTACTAACTAGTCATTTATTTGCCTATAATTATTTCCAATTACCAACTAGTCTATAATTAGAAGATGCTCCCCCCACCTGGATCCACTTGGGAGCTCGGAAACAAATTAGCGCAAGCCCTAGCATATTCTTGGCTAGATTGCTACCCTCCTGTACGTTTATCAAGAGCTGGTTGCCTCCATATCTCATCATTTATTCCCGAACATGTTCTTGGGCGGGTCTTCTTTGAAAGGCTATGTGACTTGTGGCAAAGCACCAAAAACAGAAATCCAAGAGATACCCGACAGGGAGGCTGACACATGTCTCTACAATATGCATTTACTTAGACAAACATGTGTGAAGAACAACCAACCGTTTACACAAGATCTTGCGATAATGGTTCAACTGACGCATATGGCATATACAGTTAGATGTGAAATAACTCGAATATATCATATATCTGTTTGAGCTAACCTAAAACCCAACAGTTTCGCGATCTTTCACAATCTCAATGGGCTGTTTCCCGTGTTGAACGACTAAACGAGAGCAAGCCATGTTAACATCCCACCCCTGGGTTTGGAATCATTACACCTGTGCCACGTGGATGATTGACATCCCAGTAAATTGCCACCACCCAAGCGCTCCATATATCACCTGTGTTCAAGAAAAGCATCCTTTTGTCGCTTTTGTCCCTACATTATTACCTTCTTATGTTTTCATTTTGTCTCAAGAGAAACAGTGCATTTTGCAAGCCTACGGTGCACATTTAGGTCTATACATGGCTGCTGCATACGGACTTGCATGAGGAGATGTTAATCTATGTAATTGGAAATCTTGTTGGCCCGTACGGGGAATGCTATCAGGAAAGAATGCACCCTTGGAACAACCACAGTGGGAATATTGAAGATGTACAAAACGACCTCGGCATCTCTATAAATCATGTGTCAACGTGTTCGACCTCGGCATCTCTACAAGTCATGCGTCAACGTGTTCATGTCCTGGCCGTTAAAAAAGCGAATCCTCCTGAGATATTTTGGGGTTGCGCAATCATGACACATCCACCTCAACCCTCTGGTCGACGACCATTTTCCTGACATTTTTTTAGAACCGCCGCCACGGCTATTTCTACAGTTGTCATGTAGCGACCCAGCGGCTCTGTAAATGATGTACATGTTCCATGCCATAGATGGGGATACATCAAATCATGAACTACATTGAAATCCCATCCTTTGTGATTGTGTCCTCAAAGATGCATTGCCCATATGCGAACCATGGTGCTGGAATATATATCAACATTTACCCCCAAAATCCATGCAGTTTTGTAGGTGTGCATATACCAGCACCATGGTTCGCATGTGGGATATGTTTTGAGACCTACAAAATGCAGAAAAATCTGCAACCTGAACGACCTGCAATGGCGACAGCAACACAGGTTTGCTACCTTTCCACCCCAAATACGTTTGGGAGCTAAGTTGGCCAAATAATGAGGCACGGAAACCAATTTCACCCCCAAATGTGGCACAGGTGTACCATCGTGTACCTATAACACGTTGGAGAAACCCTGCAACACCAGCACTTTTTCTCACATTTTGATGGCCCCAAATGCACCTTGTCCCCAGTTAGCGGGAACTCAACACTGCCTCTCGCAAGCTTAGAGTCTTCAGGCTGCTCGGCAAATCAACTCCTTCCAAGCTCTGCTCGAATCGCTGAATGCAAAATAGATCTTCAAGCTGGTCTCCCAAAATCACGCCTTTCAAGCTCAGGTTAAAGGAAGGACTAGGTGGCAGGGTCGCTCGCTTTAAGCTCTGTTTGAAATGAAAACCAAGAGACAAGTTTTGAAGACTGGATGGCAGGGACACTCCCTCCAAGCTCTGGTTAAAGGAATCACCCAAAGTCAAGTTTTGCAGACTGGATGGCAGGGTCACTCGCTCCAAGCTCTGGTTAAAGGAATCACCCAAAGTCAAGTTTTGCAGACTGGATGGCAGGGTCACTCGCTCCAAGCTCTGGTTAAAGGAATCACCAAAAGTCAAGTTTTGAAGACTGGATGGCAGGGTCACTCGCTCCAAGCTCTGGTCGAAGCAGTCGCCAAAACTCAGTGTTTGAAGACTTGTTGGCAGGGTCACTTGCTCCAAGCTCTGATTAAAGTAAGTACCAAAAGTCAGTGTTTGAAGACTGGATGGCAGGGTCACTCGCTCCAAGCTCTGGTCGAAGCAGTCGCCAAAACTCAGAGTTTGAAGACTTGTTGGCAGGGTCACCTGCTCCAAGCTCTGATTAAAGTTAGTACCAAAAGTCAGTGTTAGAAGACTTGTTGGCAGGGTCACTTGCTCCAAGCTCTGGTTAAAGGAATCGCCAAAAGTCAAGTTTTCAAGACTGGATGGCAGGATCACTCGCTCCAAGCTCTGGTTAAAGGAGTCACCAAAAGTCAAGTTTTGAAGACTGAATGGCAGGGTCACTTGCTCCAACCTCTCGTTAAAAGGAGAACCATAAGTAAACGTTTGAAGACTGGATGGCAGGGTCACTCGCTCCAAGCTCTGGTCGAAGCAGTCGCCAAAACTGAGTGTTTGAAGACTTGTTGGCAGGGTCACTTGCTCCAAGCTCTGGTTAAAGGAATCGCCAAAAGTCAAGTTTTCAAGACTGGATGGCAGGGTCACTCGCTCCAAGCTCTGGTTAAAGGAATCACCAAAAGTCAAGTTTTGAAGACTGGATGGCAGTGTCACTCGCTCCAAGCTCTGGTTAAAGGAATCACCAAAAGTCAAGTTTTGAAGACTGGATGGCAGGGTCACTCGCTCCAAGCTCTGGTCGAAGCAGTCGCCAAAACTCAGTGTTTGAAGACTTGTTGGCAGGGTCACCTGCTCCAAGCTCTGATTAAAGTCAGTACCAAAAGTCAGTGTTTGAAGACTGGATGGCAGGGTCACTCGCTCCAAGCTCTGGTTAAAGGAATCACCAAAAGTCAAGTTTTCAAGACTGGATGGCAGGATCACTCGCTCCAAGCTCTGGTTAAAGGAGTCACCAAAAGTCAAGTTTTGAAGACTGGATGGCAGGATCACCCGCACCAAGCTGTGGTTGAAACGACGACCAAACGTCAAGCTTTGAAGACTGGATGGCAGGATCACTCGCTCCAAGCTCTGGTTAAAATAAGAACCAAAAGTCAACGTTTGAAGACTGGATGGTAGGGTCACCCCTTCCAAGCTCTGGTTAAAACAATCATAAAATGTCATTTTTTGAAGACTGGGTGGCATGTACATCGCGTTCAAGGCATCTTTCCAGTTGAATTGAATTGTCAACTCTTCAAGGCTTTCGGGGAGATAACGCATATACGGTCCTGGCATCTTCAAGGTTAGACAGGTTAGTCCTTCCAAGGCTTCTTCAGAGGCTGATAGTCCTTTAATGAAACACCCTGCAGCAAAGAGGTTTGCTGGCATGTAAGTGGCCGACAACGTTTTGGTTTCACTCACCATGCCTTGCTCTTGCAAGGTTTGGTTCAGCACTAGTTCTGAAGTGCCATGATGCAGGGCAAGCTTTGCACCCCTCTTAGAAGGAAACTTCTTCGAAACCACTTGTCGAAGCTCTCGGCCAAGCGTCGCAGGAGAGACCTTCAAAAGGAATCCTTCCCCAGTCATGCTCTGCACATGAAGATCAAAAAGCTGTGAGGACACATCAGGTTCCGAGGATCCACCTGCACCCTGCATAGCCAGCGACATCTGGAAACTCTTCTGGGACCCAAAAGTTTGTGGCTATGCTATGCCTTTGACAATTTGGCAGTGTACATGTTGACTTCTTGGAAGTGTGGGACCCAAACAATAAGTTTCTTTTGTTTTATAACTGCAATAGCTGTTGGATTTTGATTTAGACTATATACAGTTGGCAAATAAACTAACTCGCAAGCCAGTTTCACTGGATGGTGTAGTCAGTTGGGATTATTATTCCCAACTGAATGGGAATTCATTAAACATGCCATGGTTCCAAAACACCAGCCATGTGTTTTTTTGATGTTTGCAGCGTGTCCAATGCTGGAAGAACAGGTCATCGATGGTCATCCCAGACGAGCGCACAGAAAACTGCAGTGATGTGAACGTTGTGGAAATTCACACCATGATATCTACGTGAAAGGTCGATATGAAACATAGATATATCAACCGAAAATTATATCTAAAGCATGTGTCTAGGTTAATATATCGGATCTAATCTAGGGATATCTAGGGTAGTCATACTCGAATCTATGTACACTGATACACATTGTAGTGAAATAAACAAGCTGAGCAATTCCGAACTGAGGCACCGCGTTGCAGATTATGGTTTGGATCCCTCGTTTTGGTACTCAAATCCCATGTTTTTTTTCTGTTTGTTTCCACTTAAATAGCGATTGATGTTTAATCAAATGCCATCATGGGTATAGAGATAATAACTTAAATCCATTTTTTTGGTGGTTAAAACACATGTTGTTTGGCTTACCATCTGGTTATTTAACATTGCCATGGAAAATCACCATGTCTAATAGGTAAACCATCTATAAATGGGCCATTTTCCATGGCTATGTTAAATAACCAGAGGGTAAATCCATTGAGATAGCCCCCATTGAAAAATGTTGAAGGCATCCCAAATGCCTCTCCTGCCTTAGCCAGGTGAGTACCACAGTGTCGTGACTCAGCACTGTAGCAGTTGGTAGGTCCAGTTCTGCGGCTGGCCTCGGAAAAATGTTGATTTGATGGTGATTTAATGATATCATACTTGGATATACTAACCAAAATGAAGATAATAATGGGACAAAGGTTATTATATCTATTGTATTCTACATGAGTTGATTAAGTTAAGTTTATTAAAACAAAACAACAACTAAGTGAAAACAACTGGAACCTATCTCAATATCCGACTCATTGCCGTGTGAAAAATAGGGGTCTGGCTGCTTCCAAGCATGTTTTCTCATAGAATCTTGGAAGTATATCCAACAACTTTTCAACACATTTGGACTTAGGCACCCCCAAAAAAGGTATGTATTTTGATATGTCTTGATTGAATTCGGGGTGTTCTTAAAATGGGGGATCCCAAGTCGTCACCTTTTTGTTGTTTCAATACGATCCGTCATGGTCATCCATGACGACTGGGTGATTTTTTGGGTATGCCCGCTTTAGGATGGCCAGTGGAAATCCCGGAGGCACTCCCATGTTAGCGAACCATGGTGCTGGTATATGCACACCTACAAAACTGGGTGATTTTGGGCAAGGGCACATGTTGGTGTGCATATTCCAGCACCTATGGCTCGCTAACATGGGACTGAGGATTTAAAAAATCGTAGTTCATTGCCAGTGTTTTTTGAGATGTACCAAAACAACTGAACATATTTCTTTTCTGGGATGTTCAAAAACAATAGATTGTTCAACAGTAATTTCCAGGTGTCCGACTTTTCTATGTGTTTGGGGGTTGCTAAGGATAGGTTTCCAAGCCATGAACTGATCACTTTGAGCAGTCAAATCCCTAGCTTCCCTGGTTCATTCACGATTCTTGTTGGTGAAATCATCATGTTTAATGGTCCATTCCTGATCAAGGGCCATTTCAGGTACCTAAACTGGAGGTACCTACCATGTATAAGGCCTATTTTTTAGGCCTATGTAAGAGAATATCCCAACAAAACCGAGTCTTATATGGTACGGTACCTGCATTTTAGGATCCTGAAATTCCCATTGACTGATAAAATCCCAATTGTTCTAGGTTAATTTAATCCACTCAAGTCACTCATCATCATATCCCATTAGTTTTTGTTGATAGGTATCCCAGTTGTCCCATGGACATACAATGTGGGGCCCCCAAGCGATAGCTAACTTGGTCTATTTGCCTAGGTTAAGTATGGCTTATGGTAGATATATCTGTAGTATTCATGGGGTTTATAAACCAACAAACATAACTTGGGGGGCCCCACATTGTACCAATATTTTTGTGAATGAAATCAATCCACTTACAATGTGGGGCCCCCAAGATAGCTAAGTTGTCTTATAACTACAATAACTAGTAACTAGGGTTTATGGTAGTTATAACTATGGTTACCCTCTGGTAATTTGTTACATAGCTATGGAAAATTGCCCATTTATAGATGGTTTACCTATTTAAAATGATGATTTTCCATGGCAAAAAGTAACAAATAACCAGATGGTAGATGGGGTTATAAACCCACAAACATAACGTTTGCGGGCCCCACGTCGTAGATCCCCCAGCCTTGGCCAGGTGGATGTGGGCAACGATGCATCGCTCCAATCGCTGTTCAGCACCTGGTCCAAGATGGTCCAAGGTGCCGCGATGGGATGTGATGTTTGTCGCTTAAACAAATGGAAGAAATCCTGCACCAGTTACCCTCTGGTAATTTAATGTAGCTATTGAAAATGACAAATTATAGTGGATTTTCCCATTAAAAATGGGGATTTTCCATAGTTATGTTAAGTTACCAGAGGGTAAACATCCCATGATTTTGGCAGGGTTTCAAACATCCTTTTGGAGGTGCAGGATTGCGCAACCATCAACAGTATCAATTTCCATGTTCCAAGGGAAACAAAATATCAACATTGGGGAATTGATATCAACATGTTAATTTTCAGCAAACATGTTGATATCAACATTGGAATGTGATTGTTGATATCAATTTCCAATTTCACCATCAACTCATGGTTAACTTTCCCAGTCAATATTGAATATTATATAATCAATATGAGTATCTCTTTGAAACATCTTTACACATACAGTTAACAACTCCAAATACCACTTAGACATGGTTGTAGAAAACCACCAATTTATGGGATAATCTATTTATACCTGGTCAATCTTTGGTAGTCCACATGAGTCCACATGTTTTGGTAATGGTGATTCTCCATTTTTTTTCGCCCCAACAAAAAAAAGGACTACATAAACCACCATCATCCCACGTTGACCCAGCGTATTGGGTTTTTTCTGGGATTCACCGGTACAAAAAGGTGAATCTAAAGATGTGGAAATCATCTGGTTTTCCATGGAACATGATCTAAAACTGTAGGGTAACCAACACAAAAAAGGGGATTTGACCACGAGAAATGCTGGGAGAAGTGGTTTATACAATGGGAATATTATTGGAAAGTAGATATCAAGTGGATGGTGTACTAAATATATGTATTGTTTTTATGTGATTTCACGGAAATTCAATGATTTTGTCATGGGATTTCCATAGATTGCCATGCGAAGATCATGGGGTATATCAGCTCCCAGCTCGTTATGGTTGATATTTCCCATGGAGGCCCGTCCAACGTAGGAATTGATCGAAGCGATGCGATTCGCATGGTGCTGGATTTTTTGCACACCAACATTTGCCACAAAATCACCCAGTTTTATAGGTATATAACTATACCAGCACCATGGTTCGCTAACATGGGTATCTTATCTAACCCCACTCCTAGATGAATCGCCATATCTGGATCCATTTTTCACCAACCTAGGAAACAAATCTCTAGCTTCATTTCTATGCAGTTTAGGTTCTCACAAAAAAACCCAAGACTTTTAAGGCAAAATTTACAGGAAAACCCGACTTTTAACGGGAAAATCTATGGTTTCCGGTGAAGATTTTCCCAACAAAGCCAATCAAACTTCACGGATTTTCCCAGCTTCATTACCCAATTCTTTAGATAAGGGGCTTACTATCGGTCGGGCCGACCGCACTAACGCGGTCTTAAAAAAAACCAGAGGAATCGTACCTATGGCAAGGTGGTGCACCATACCATGTAAACTTGTTTAACTGGGGTTTATGGTACCTAAAGCACTTTAAGACTTGTTTAAATCAATGTGGTGCCCCAGTTCGATAGCTAAGTTACTTTAGAAAAGTTCAACAACTATGGTTTATGATACTTATAACTATACTTATATAACTATACTTAATGACTTAATGCAATTTATAACCCGACAAACATAACTGGGGCCGGCACCACCGGGCTTGGCCCCACATGACCACATGACCTGGGCTCCCAGGGCGCCTGATCGTTCCCGCAGAGGGTACGAACCTGGAAGGTCAACGCTGTGTTGGAAGGCAAGGCTGACACTCTACAGCTGGTTTCACCTGGCGGAACGCGACGGAAACGCTAGCTGGTGGTAAACATGTGATGTCTTTTTGTTTTTAATGGGAAAAAATGGAAAGAAACCATCAAAACTGGGTTAAAGAAACTATATCTATATATCATTTAGGATTTTTTATCCACGTCAAAAGAGTTTTCACGGTCACTGAATTTAAGTTTACCCTCTGGTTATTTAACATAGCCATGGGAAATGGCCCATTTATAGATGGTTTACCTATTTAAAATGGTGATGGTCCATGATTTTCCATGATTTTTCCATGGCTATGTTTATTAACCAGATGGTAATTGATGGATTGACACATCTTTCTTTCGGGAGAGTGCGGTTTTTCTCCGTTGTGAAACCCAAGCGGTTCTTGATCGCCAAATCATTGTCCTGGTTGGATGGCTGAAGAAATATTAGCTGCAAGGTGGTGGGCCCCCAGTTGTAAGTTGGTTTATAAACCATAGTAACTATATATAGATGTAACTACCATAAACCCAAGTTATTAAACTTATAAACTAACATAGCTAACGAACTGGGGCACCACCTTGTGGCAACCAGTCTGACGTGTTGACGATATGTCCCGCAATTTTAAGCACCGTATAATCGACCTATAACTAAACTCAAAACACCTCATGATCTCCGTGTCATTGCCCTGTAAACTAACATTTTGCTATGGAAAATCACCCTTGTTTTGATAGGTAAATCATTTACAAAAGGGCCATTTTTTCGGTGGCTTTTCTAACAAAACCAAGGCGAGCGCCTACTTAGGATTTCTGTGATGAGCCACTGAGCGGCAGGGATTATCATAGTTCCTAATGGATTGTAAGTAGTACTTTACTGCCAACTGCCTATATTAAACAATCTACCAACAATGTGGGGCCCGCTAGATGTAAGTGGGTTCACAGCCGCATCGAACTAGTTCGTTATAATGTTGTCTAGCCAATAGTGATATCTTGTCAATAGTAGAAGCATTTTTCCGCAACTCCAATTTTTCTCCAATACTAACAGTCAATTAGCTCCATTTACTTTTAGTATTGCCAAAAGAGTCATGTTCAGACCTTGTCCAGAGGGCATGGCCAATAGTGGGCCCAACATGGCAATAGTGGAAACTGTTTTCCCAACTCCAATTTTTTCTCCAATACTAAAAGTCAATTAGCTCCATTTACTTTTAGTATTGCCAAAAGAGTCAAGTAAAGCAAATCCTGTTCAAAGCAGCCTTCACTTTTGATTAGCAAAAGCTTAGATTCCAGAAATCTGATCCAATTACCAAACAGCTGATTTCCTTATAAAACCTTTATTAAAAAAAGCAAGAAAACAGGTCCACAAAGGGTACCGCCTTTGCAAGCCCCAGAATAGCAATAACAAACCTGCACCAGGCATGGCAATAGTGGATTGTTTTTTCCGCAACTCCAATTTTGTTGTCCTCCTTCTCCTTCTCCCTTTTCTCCTTCTTCTCCTCCTCCTCGTCCTCCTCCTTCGCCTCCACCACCTCTGCCCCCACTTCCATGTCCACTTCCGCTATAAGGTTCCAAAAAATTACTATTGGAATGCTGACCCCCCCTACTTTTTTTTTTACAAAAAAATATTTTGTTTAGGGGGGGGATTTACTATTAGGCAGCCTACATTAACTACCATAAGCCATACTTAACCTAGTTTCTAACTATATTTATAACTACCAAAAACCATACTTTACATAGCTATAAACCAACTTAGCTATCCTTTTGGGGCCCCACATTGAAGGTATTTTTATGCATCTTTCAACTCGTGAAGACTTCCGTCACTTCCGTCACCGACTGCGGTAAGCTGCTGTCCAAGTTGCAAACACTCGAGGCCTGCCACAGTGGATCTCTTGTCAAATCCACGAGTTTTTGGGCCATAGAATAGGTGTCAAGAAATTTATATATATATATATAGAGTTTAGATATGCATCATATATTATATATCGTATCATATTAAATATATAATGTATATATATATATACAGGCATGAAAACAGAATTATATATATATATAAGGAGAAAAAATGTATATGATATACGCATGTCATGTACATATTGTATACTGCCATGCAGAAAAACCTGCGAATAAACTAGGGATAGAGTACCCCTAGATGGACTCCGTGGTGGGTTGCGGTGGGAGGAATGTGAACGCTTTAGCCAGCAATGGCGAACATCCACACATTTTGATGATTAGTCCTCAGTTTGGTTAATCTTGGTTGGTTGAATCGGTTGAAGATATAGTTGAAGCCTACAGTTATGGCCATTTACCAGTTATATCTGGTTATAAATGGGATTATACATTCTATAAATGGGGTTATAAGTACTTATAACTGATAAATGACCATAACTGTATGTTGTAACACGTTGTGGTCTGTCACTTTCGCATCGCTGGCCGCGCTGCCAATCGCTTGCCATTTGTACTGGCGATTTTGGATCAGATCATCCCCTTTTTTTAACCAGATGGTGCCCCAAAGGCATAAATTAATGCAGAGATTTCTGCCATATAGTAATACATAGTAATACTATAGACTATAGAATCTACTATAATTGTAGTTACAAACCGACTTATCTCAAAATGCAAAACATCGACGGTCAATCCCCATGCATGATGCACATTAAACAACGGGAGGAATCACCACTATATCTCCACTATATCCCATCAAAAACCCTCAATTTCCTTGGTCAAATCTCAACTTTGTATAGGTAAACAGTCCACTAAAATGGATATACCCGGCCTGGTAAACATACAAAAAAATATTGTATAGATGGCCATAGAAATCGTTGATTTTCCCATTGAAAATGGTGATTTTCTATAGCTATGTTAAATTACCAAATGGATATAGTCTGTTTGGGACCCCTACAGTGCATACAGATCCCCATTGGCTAACTGCCGGTGTCTGCGCGCCTGACAGATCACATCCTGCCAAGCGCTTGTGCCAGCCACAGCACGCCTGAAGAAAATGAATCCATGGTGACTCAAGTGGGGATCCCACATCTATATGCATGTATATATATATATATATGTATATATATATGTATATATATATGTGTGTATCTACATATATACATACATACATATATATATTATACATGTATATGTATGCATTTGTGTACATATTCTATATCATATATACGTATATGTATATATAATTACATTTAAACATGTTATTGTATCTAAGTGATCGCCTCTTTTAAGGTAGATCATGATAATATCGCTTTTCGGGGCTTGGAACACATGTTCGAAGACCAGACCTCTCAAGTGAAAGTTTCTGCTTGGACCTTTTAAATCTTGTCTCATGTACTATGTGTATATATATATAGCTCAAATATAGTGATAGATACATATATCGCATTCAGCTATCCGGGAATCGGGATGTCTGAGAGTTTTTCATTAAAGAAACATGTGCTAAAAAAAATCTCTAGTCAAGACCCTCGGTTCCACTTCATCCACTTCTTTAAGTATGGCTGAAAAAGAACAACGACAGCCATACAAAAAACGAGCCAAAATCGGGATCCAAACATCAAAGTAGAGATAGCCTCCAGGAAATTAACAGTTCGACCCTGGCAGTCATCGGGGTTGGAAGACGAGTTTCCATTACAAAGTGGTGATTTTCAGGGTCAAACTGTTAATTTACTGGAGGGTAATACTTCAAATGATGTATAGACATGGGGATTTTTCTCTCATTTTTGCACTACTTAAATTGGATTGGTAAATCATGCCAACTACGGGTGTTCACCTCATCCCGGTTTGAGTGCCATATCAACAATCCATGGCGACCCGTCAAAATCCATCGATCTTGAGCTTTACAGATTTCAGATGATGAAGTTCGTGATTCCTTCAAATTATGGCCAATCTGAAAAATACCCTGCAACAAAAATTAAAATTCTTAGCTGGTGAACGTAGATAATTCCGTTGATACCGACTTTAAACTATCCATCCAAGATTGATCTAGAAATCCAGTTGAAAGTAGGATCCTGCAAATTTACAAAACATGTTTGGTGAATCAGAATTAAGCATCACTTAAGTGACGTCCACAAATATCCAGGTTATGCCTCCGGCAGTTTGATGGCGACAGCGATGACATGGAAGCCACGGATTAGCAGATGGCGAAAGCCCACAATGTGGCCCCCCCCAGTTATAAGTTGGTTTCTAAGCCCCAGTAACTATAGTTATAAGTACCATAAATCATAGTTATTGAACTTATAAACTAACTTAGCTATCTTGGGGGCCTCACATTGCATGATTGACTGAAACATCACATACCCAAAACTTTCTCGGTTAAAACATCTATCTATCTGAGGAAGCCCCTATTTTTGAACACTCCAAAAGGTGAAAAACAGTGACAGAGGTTGCTCTCTGGCCACCCCAGGATATGCAAAATTAGAGCGGTAAAATGACTTCATGTCCACCCCGTGTGGCCGTGATTCACCTATACTTAATGGTTTAATGTTGATTGCTTGGGCTTGCACAAAAATGGGATACCCATAGTTCCATGTATGTATATGTATATGTATATATATATAGTTGGTTTATCATCATAGAATATATTACACAGATTCCAAACGCGCAGTGCTTCAATTGTATGGGGGACTCCAAACCTTGGTACCCCAGTTGATCCATTCCCAGTTTCCCAGTTCGGGAAACCAAAGGTTTTCCACATCTATGTTAGTTTACCCTAGGATAACCCTCTAAAACAGAGACTTAATCATCTAATTATAGTTATAATATGTTATAACTACCATAAACCCAATTTATTGTAGTTATTTGGCCCAACTTAGCTATCTTGGGGGCCTCACTTTGTAGGATTCAACCATCATTGTTTTTTTCTCTCCCAAATCCAACGTAACTTAAAACCACGTCCGTCAGCCAAGATGCTGAAGATGGTACTGTGAGAAGATGCCTTGGCGGTGTGGCTTTTATGGTGGGGGGGATTTATGGTGGGGGAATAATGGATGTGGGGATATAAAACCAAACCTTGCATGGGAATACCAGAGGAATATTCTGGGATATAATGGAATACGATGGGAAGCATATTCAATGGGAATTTCAGGACCATAAAAGAGAGGTATTGTACTATATGTTGTTTATTTGCCATATTTTGCGGGAAATATTCCCTGAAATCTAGGCCTTACATAGGCATTATATATGGTAGGTACGTCCAATTTAGGTTCCTGAAATGTCAACTGATTTTGTCTATAAACGGAAATATATTAATTGGGCATATATCATATAACCTGCAATAGAGCGGATATAAACAATATAAAGAAATACAATGGGATACCTCTATGATACTAGCAATACTACTTTGACATGGTTGAATGTGTCATTTTGGTAATTGTTTAGATGAATGATGGTCGTAGTTGAATGTACATGTGATGATATGTGTTTAGCCGATTTTTCTGGGATAAATTCACGATAGTAACCGACAGTAGTAGTAGCAATCATCATGATGGTGATAATATATAACCCCACTAGTCAATTGGCTGAGTGAGTTCGGATCCTTATTGCAACCCTAGACATTCATCAAAGTAGTAGAACATGGGAATATAAAGCAGGGTATGACCAACAAAGGGAATGGTGTTAGGGGATATAAATGAATATATACTGTAATGGGACAGGATAATCAACAATACTGATATAGAAATGTTTGGCAGTTTTGCGATAATTACCCCGACAATTCCAATCATGCCAGTGTAGTCCCAATGAGATCGTCATAATTTTCCAGAGAATGACGTCAGTCATATTGATAAAAAATGTTCAGAGTGATGATAATCAACATGATAACAAGATGAACTAAATTGTCAAACAATGATATGAATTGAATTCTCAGACCAGGAATCAAAAATGTTTCTGCACTTACATGATGCAGCTCTTTCGGCTGTAGATCTTCAAGTGTCCATACAGACATCAACCAACCATGGTTTATCCATCCAGTATTTTAATGGTTACAACATGTTAGTCATATGAACAGCACAGCCTTAGTCACTTAAATCATCATCCGAATAAACCAACCTTCAAGCAATTCAAATGACTAGTTGGTTGTATATATATATATACTGTATATTTATCCACTAAGGTTCTCTATCTATCTATCTATCTATCTACCTATCTATCTATCTACCTATCTATCTAACTATCTATCTATCTATCTGTCTATCTGTCTATCTATCTATCTATCTATATATATATATATATCATGTAAGCCCATCTATGTCTGCTTCGTTAGAGCCATCACGTATGCAATTCGTTCAGGGCAGCGCAGCGCCGCTTCAACGAGTCGCAATCGTTCAAGGTGGGCAACGACCACGACAGTTGCACGCTGTCGTACGACAGCACCTCCACTGTGACGCCTGCAATGTGCAGGCCATGTGGGAACTGGGGATATCCGATGTGCACATATATATATAATCATATAAAATTATAATATATCATATCAAATCATAATTATCAAAATATATTGTATTATATTATATCATATTGAATTCAAATCATATTAGATTATATTAGATCAAATTATATTTCTTATTAGGTTAGATCATATTATATCATATCATATATTATATTCTATCATATTTTATTATATTGTATTATATTATATTATATTAAATTATACTATAATATTTTATATTATATTATAATATATAAATATGTGCTATATATACACGATAAATCAATAATATGAAATAATAAATGAATATACCTATATGTATATTATGTAGTAGTAGTAATAATAATAATATAATAATAATAATAATAAATATATAATAATAATAATATAATAATAATAATATATATATATATGATATATATGTAAATATTATGTAAGAAAAATACATATCTATATATTATGTCAATTTATATAAATACATATCTATCTTATGTTAGTTATAATATATGAATATACAACTGGGGAAGAGCATACATATATGTAATTATATATATATACATTGGCATATAGATACACATAGTTCTTACCTACTTACCAACTGGGATGCACCCCCCCCCACAAATGGAGATACTATGCGACAATATGTCACATCGACTCAAATGAATGATCCCGGGCCGTGGTGAAAAATGATTGTTGTTGCTAATCCGCCCAAGAGTCAGGTACTTAACATATTTATATATGGGAAATGGACAAAAAGCTGTCAAAATTGGGTACCCCAATTATCTCGGACAATTGAGCGTCCAAAACCCGTCAAGTGTCGTCCCTTGAAAACCGGTCGAGAATGCGATTGCTCATGGATTCTTATTGCCCATTTATAGATTGTTTACCTATTAAAAATGGTAATTTTCCATGGCTATGTTAAATAACCAGATGGTAATCCCACTATACTATACTGGTTGGTGGTTCCAATCCCTCTGAAAAATGATGGAGTGAACGTCAGTTGGGATGATGACACTCCCAATAGATGGAAAGTCATAAAGATTCCATGGTTCCAAACCACCAACCAGTTTATAAACCATTATTATTAACCATCATTAACTACTAATATTCACCATTATTAACCATTGAAATACCATTATTAACCATCGAAGGGTATTCAAGTGTAGTATAACAGTACCTAACAAATCAACCAACAGGGGGGGTGTCTTGCAGCCACTTCACAACCTTGAAGCCCTTTGATGGCGATCCAGCTGACTTTCCAACTTGGCCAAGAAAAATCACACGCCACTCCCCATTCGACATCAAAATCGCTGGCAATGGTTGGGAACATGGATTTGGAGGAATCCTCATATATTACATGCTAGTCATCCTAAAAGATATAGAACAGTACTTCACCAGTTAACTATGGAAGTGAGAAATCAATCTCATCCAATCCCATCTCTGAATATCTATTCCCAGGAAATGATTGATGTCAGCATTCAAAAGACATAACTCAGATAGAACCTAAAGGCGAAAATAATATGAACCATGAAACATGCTTATTCCACTAACAAAGCCATAGATATTAACAATACTTGCTGGCTTATCCAACGAATCCGAAGTATAGGCTACATCCCTGGTCTTGTTCGGTGAACTAACCTACAAAAAACGATCCGTGGCGAGTTCGCCACCAAGTAATTTCAGATGCGGAATTTCAGCGACGAAGTTCGATGTCGGCTGGCGTTTTTGGACCCCACATACCTCTAGTTATTGATAAAACTTCTGATTAAGATATATATATATATATGGGGTTACTATTCCCAATATATGGAAAGTCCTAAAGTTCCATGGTTCCAAACCACCAACCAGTAATATGTTTTAATTCCATAATTATCATCTGGTTATTTGTTACAGTTCGCCATGGAAAGATCCACCATTTTTAATAGGAAAACCATCTAAATTTCTATGGGCCATCTATCCCATGGCTATGCAACAAATAACCAGAGGGTAAAATGAGTATAGATATTAAACTAAAACTGCTGGTTTTATAGATATTACTTATGGTTAATTTAATACTTAGATACCACTGGTTATAGATTTAGCTTATCTAAGTATTCTATCTATAGGTATCTAGTGTAGATTCTGATATCTTGAGATTTGCACAAGAACCTATTGATCTCAATACTTGCTATAGCTATTGATATTTTGAAATTATATACATATATATATATACACAGTATATAAATATTATATATATATATATATGTATACATACATATTGATGTGAGATATAAAGATATACTCTCTGGTAATTTAACATAGCTATTGAACATGGCCTATTTGGTTATAGTTGATTTATATACCTATTAAACATGGTGTTTGTCCAGTTCGCTATGTTAGTTTAGCAGAGGGTACTAGAAAATATGAATCCCACTGAATCCCGAAAATTCGGTCACCCGCCCTTCGTCGATTCCGCCTGAGACTTGCGCGGGCAATCCCAAGGTTGTGGCAAAGGTCACGTTACTCCTGGGGACGTGAAAAGATTTGTGAGAAGTTCACCATGAAATGAGTTCACCAGCAAAAAGGGGAGTTCACCATCCGAAATGGTGGGTTTAACATGGTTTAAGTATGTTTAACTATGAAAAATGCTGGCGAAAATGGTGGTGTAACCATCAAACATAGGCATTCAACCAGGAAACATGGGGTGTTTATAAACCTTTTTGATGTTATAAGTCAAGTTGGCGTAAACGGGACCCCCACTGCCTGGAGAAATTCGGGAAATTCGGTCACGGAATGCGGCCAGGCGTCCACTCCGAGTTCGTGCTACTCACATTGCAAGTTTCCTGGATCCTGGCTGTGGCGAACAAAACCTCCCCAAACTCAAGGATGAAGAACTTGGGGAAAAGGGGCATTTAACTCGCAACGAAAATGGGAAACATGATGAAACATTGAGCATGTGTAACCAGCCAAAATGGTGTGTAGGCCCATTTAGGCATTCAAAAAATACTATTTCACCAGCAAAAAATGAGGATTTTACATGATTTAACCGGCAGAAAAATTGGCGTTTTAGCATCACAAGCTGGGATATCATCAACAATTGGGATTTCACCGATGAAAAACTGGAATGTGACCAACAAATACCAACCAAGATGGGGATTTGAATGATTCATACATTGATTTCTGCTATCAATGGAAGGGTTTCCCTACCGGAAAATTTGGGAATGGCCAGCAACCTTGGTTGGGTTTTCCGGTTTTTTCCCAGTGAAAATCATTCGGAAATTCCGGGATTCGGTAAAAAACCAGATGTCCGGCGTCCTGATCTCGTAGCTAGTGGCAGATCTCAAGCTTTCCACGGTGCAAAGTGAGTTTTCACGCGAAGAGCTGCAGCCTGATTGTGGAGCCAGGGACACCATGTGTTCGGGGAGTCTCCACGAAAAAAGACCAAGAATGACTTATTAGTCATTATTATATAATGAATCACATAGAGTGAAAATAGAAACGTGGTAATCCAATAATGACAACTTCATTAGTAACGATAAAAGTGAGGTATGACTATTGGATTTACAAAGTTTATCTTTCTATCTTGAGATTTATAATATGGGGACGCTGCCTTCTGTGCGACGCTGGAAGTGGAAATTCAACCCTTTGGTTATCGGGTTCCTATGGATGATGTTGACCTCTGGTTCCTTCTGAGGTGATTTGAAAACAGTGGACAAGTAAAACAGTGGACATATATGGTATATTTACGTACAAAACTGGGTGATTTTGGGGGTAAATGTTGATACATACTCCAGCACCATGGAGCATATGGGAATGATAAGTTTCAAAATCTATCTCATTAATGCTGGGAATGCAAAGTGTAAGAACTGGTATATGTGTATCTATACTGCTGGTTTACTTTACACATTCAACTCTAGATATGTGGTCCGCATAAATCCAGAAGCCATTGTAGTTTGAAACCAACAGAAATCTCTCATAGATCAATGATCAAAGATCATATAAAAACTATATCTTTTGATGGCGTAAAATCAACCTTTTTCAACCTTTTCCAACCTTTTCCAACCGTTAGAATTAAATACAGTAATTCAACTACAAATCCACATGTTTACTGTAGTACTTAGGTTCTCTTTTTGCCACCATTGTTTCCATACAGTGATGAACCAACTAGCACTTATAAATGAAGTTAGAACATGTTAGAACATAACTCCTATAATTAGTTTGTGAAATATATCATGAAATAAATTCAGAAGAAAAAACTGTTACAATATTGTATCATTAAATCCCATTGGAATTACCACCAACTGTTAGGTATATTACCACCATACAGTCTGTTAAACTAACATAGCTATAGAATATCACCATTTTGAACAGGTACATCAACTATAGATATCTATAAATGGGGTATTTCCAACAGCTAGGTTAAATTACCAGAGGGCAGCCCCAGTATATCATCCCCTTTTTTGGGCCATAATTGTGGTGACGACTCTGAGCGTTTTTTTTAAAGGCATCCCTCATGCCAGGCCATTGAATCCTGGATAAAATCGGGATTCCCCGTTTTTGGAGTACAATGTGAGGCCCCCAAACGTGATGTTTGTTGGCCAAAAAAAACACCATTGACTAGTTCGTTATAAATACCATAAACCATAGTGAAATGGGACTTATTTGCACCAACTGAACGCTATCTTGGGGGCATCACATTGTATGAAATAATCTCCAATAAATATATAAAGGGTAATCATCGGGTAATCCCCAAACTAATCATCTACCAGAGGTTTAGCAACCACTGCTCATGTTGCAGCCCCAGCTTTCCTTCGCGCTGCGGCGCTGCGCCTTGACTTTGCCACGTCGCCGCGTCAGTGACGCGGAACTGCACCAGCCAGGAGTCGAAGACACACTCCATGGCGTCGCCTGGAAGCTGCGGCCTACGAAACCAACCAACCAACAGGGCTTGAAGCGTGGGAAAACCATGGGAAACCCATTTAACTAGCAAAAATGAAGATCAATACATATACCTAGAGACTCCAAATGCCCTAGAGTTTCTAGGTATGTATATATATATATATATGTATACATAATTTATATGATTAGACGATAGAAAACTATAGGAAAATGGTGATTCCACCAACTCAAAACAGAGATTTCACCAGGAAAACGAGGGATTTGACCAACCAAAATGGTGATTCAAGCTACGTACTAAAAAAATGTGAAAATGGTGATTTAACCATGAACATGATTATTTAATGGGATGATACGGATGATAGAAATCATGCCCTATGGATCCAGCCGTACCTTAGGAAATATGACTGGGTGAGATTGTTTAGAGATTGTATAAGTATATAAGTACAGTCGAGAAGGAAGTGGTTGGACCCATAGGGATATATATATATATATAATCTGCATATATCTGCATATGATATAATGTCAGCCAAATCTATAAAATCCAGAAATGAGAACGGAACTGGTATTTCGTACTACCTCTGGGGCCGCGTGGTCTGGCCTGCCCTCCACATATTTAAATGTTGTTACCGTATATGGCTGAGTTCCCAGTTGCAGCGAAAACATGGGAAAGGACCCCAAACTCTGCTGCTGACTCAACGCACCCATGCGCAATAAACGCACAATAAGCGCGTCATATATCGCACTGTTGAATTGCTTGGACTTACGACGCGGCAATCAAACATTGCCTGATGGAAAAAGACCACATTTTCATCGATTGTATAGTTCATCTGTCCATTCAAATGGGAATTCCCACTGGCAAGGTTGCTTACCTTACAGTTATGGCCCAAGTGACTGTTATACATGGAATTATAACTCCCATAACTAAGGTTATATATACATATATATATATATATATATTTACTCAAGATAAGCCCATTTCACTTTTAAGGGCCATAACTGTAGGGGTTTTGACGCAAACTACCCCCCGTTCACCCAGGTTACATCGGTGCTCCGGCCCCCACCTGCGGTCCACATGACTGTGACGCTGCTGTTCCCAACCGCTGTGACGCTGGGTGTCGAGGGAGTTTGTGCGGGACGTAAACATTTCTCCCCTGGCCGGCTTATTCTGCAGGTATTCACAGGATAATTCAGGTATGGGAATACCATGTGGATACCAAGTTACTATTGGACCAGTAATGGCACTATTCCGGTGTGTATATATATATATATATTATTGTTTCTGTCTTGTTTATCAGAAGCATTCATGTTTACAAAGGGCTTCACACATGTGCCATTAAGGTTGCTGGACCAAAGTAGATTCTAATCGAGTGCTTTTGGGGTACAAACATCATCAAAACGTCAAAATGTTGGAAATGTAAGTATGTCTGAACATGTGCCATACTCAATTTGCGGATCTTAATAGGGAAAATTCTGAGTAACCCATGGATTTATGGCATATGTTCGGACAATCCCATTTCGTCGTGGAGTGCTTGCAGAACCCCCATGATGACTTGAGAGTTTAATGCTCATGCATCGAGATTCGTGCAATTATGGCCCTTAACAGTTATAAATGGAACTATAAATCCTATAGCTAAGGTTTTATATCATTATAAGCACATTTATAACTGTTAAGGGCCACAACTGTGAAAATTGCAAAACAAAAACACTGTAAGTCTTACAGTAATGCATTTGTTTCACATCAAGTGATTGACAATGTTCATTAATCACTTGACGAAAGGGCATCAACTCAAGATTATACAAGGTGCCCCAACCATACAGTTCAAATAGAAGTGGCATTGATACTGGAATAATCTGGAATATCTTCTATTTTAGTGGTGTGTATATAATCTGGTTGGTGCTTTTAACCATCTTGAAACATATTAGTCAAATGGGAAGGATTATCCCATATACTATGGAAAATAAAAATTGTTCCAAACACCAACCAGTTTAATTAAAACATATTAATCAACCCCCCCTGGTTTGCTACGTTGCGGGGTCCTTCGGACACCGGGCTTTTTCTATTCCAAGTATTTCGGAGCAGGAATAAAGGACCAACTCCCCATATTGTTGATGGTCAATCCCCAATTTTCATGGCTAAAGTCGCATGGTTGATGGTTGTAGTGAAATTACAGATGTACCCTCTGGTAAACTAACATAGCTATGGAAAATCACCATTTTCAATGGGAAATTCCACTATAAATCACCATTTTCAATAGCTATGTTAAATTACCAGATGTATACAGGAACTCCCTATTTTAGTGAGTCCAATCGCACCATATTTCGTTACTTAAATCAAGCCCGTGGGTCCCCGTGCCCGCCTGTAGTCGTGCTGAAGCTGCTGTAGCTGTACTCGCCCATCAGAGTCTGCCCCTGGGGAATCGGATGCCCGGGAATCGGATTTACCATAGACTTACTTGGTGGATCTTGCTGGTACATCCTTATGAAAATCCCGGTATATCCCAATGATATACCCAAGAAAATCCAGTTTTCTATGACCCTTGCGGGAAAAATATCCCTATACTGTAGGTGGTGAACCACCCACGAATCCGAAATGTGGGTTATATCCTTGGTTATATCCTAGTATATAATGGAAAAATGGGATATATCCCTGTTCAATAGCTATATTAGTTTACCAGAGGATACTAAGTAGATTATATCCCTGGTTATAAGTTAGTGGGATTTTTGTAGGCTTAATCTACTTTCAACTAGGGTGAACGAAGCTACAAAACCGATCCGTGGGTACTTCGCCACCATGGCCCAACGACCAGGCCAATAAATGGAAGCATAACTCCGATCACATCTCCTATTACACAGTTATGGCCCGAAATACCAGTTGTAAGTACTCACAAAACCCCATTTATAGAATGTATAATCCCGTTTGAACCCACTTATAACTAATAAATTGCCATAACTGCAGTAAGGGTGTGATTATCATGAAATAAGCCCATACAAATAACGGATAGATGGGCCATAACTGTGGATTTCTCCAACAAAAATTGGGATAGGTTAAGCCAAAAAAAATGCGATTCCACCAATCCTAAATTAACATAGGAAAGCACTCTTCTGGACAGGCGTGGGGAGATAGCAGGAATGAGCCAACAATCCAAAGTTGCTACGGACAACCACCAATTTTTTGGGCATTTACCCTCTGGTAAACATACAAAAAACTATGGAAAATCACCATTTTTAATGGGAAAACTCACTATAAATGGCCATTTTCAATAGCTATGTTAGTTTACCAGAGGGTAATAGGTAAATCATCTTGAAATGACAATTTGCCATCATGGTATGACGGGTGAACGTAAACTAACTAGTACTTGGGGGGCCACGTGGTGCTACACTTTCATATCTTAACATTGATATATGATCATGGCCTATCTTAGATACCCTGGCAGATAATCCCATTGATACCCAAAGACTATTTTGGATTTGTTTCTACCCATCTATATAAGATTGACCGAGTTCTGTGGCCATCTGCCGCCCTGCCTGACAAATGGCCGCGACTCGGACTTCGTAGTCGGTGTTGCACTTCAAATTCTGGATGAGGCCTTGGTCACGCGGTGGTGCCCTCAGTGATGTGAACGTTGGTTTATAAACCTCATGAATACTATGGATATATAATTGATATATATATATATATATATAATGGACATATATCTACAATAAACCAGAGTGAACAAAGTGGGGCAGCGTTTACGATAGCGTTCAGTTGGGCCGTTCATAACTACACGTTTGGGTTTCTGGTAGTTTTAATGAGCTAGTTAGATGGGTTTATAAACCAACTTAGCTAAGGAACTGGGTCACCACCTTTTAGGAATCACCAGTTGGGTGTGTCTGTAATTCTGCCGGATGTGCCAAAAAAAACATGTAACATGTCCATGTTCACATGTTTGAAAAGGGACACAAATGGGCCATGTTCACATATTTGAATAGGGACAGAAATGGATGGAAACATGCTGATCCACCAGTGTATGGAAATGGGGTACCCGGGATTTCAGTCAAGTCCACATCTTTGAAAGAGTTGAACGTATGCGAAGTGGTCTGGAGCTTTCATGCCCTTCCGGTTGAAGAGATCTTTACGTCCCCCTGAAGGCAACCTCATGAATATGTTGCACATAGATACTTAACAGACTTAACAAATGTTTGCGCTGTGATGTTCATACAACCAACACAGGATACCCGAAATATCAACCTGTTATATCCCGATTGTATCACTTATATCATGGGTTTGAAATTGTTTATGAACCCATTTTAGTTGGTAAATCCTTCATAATTTGATCCTTTGTGCCAGCAAAATGTATCAAACATCGTCAAACCAATGTCCACAATTAATTATAAACAAAATCTTTCTATATATATATATATATATCACAATGTTTGTTGGAAAAACAACACACTTGTTCTTTGATGAACTACGTTTAAAAATCCCCTTAACTCACCGTTTTTTGTTGGTCAATTTTCACTAAATCCCCATGGTATTTGTGGACAGACCCTTGTTGATTCAGTTATATCCCATTATATATTCCAAGGTGGAAATTTTCCAGTATATCCCACTAATGGTTATAAGGGACCTTTCATTTTATGGTTGATTCAGTTATATCCCACTTGTTAATTCCCCACCTGCCAGGTGAGGGTTGTTAGATTTTATCAGTTCTGTTCTCCTCCTCCGCCTCCTCCTCGCAGTCCAGATCCCAGTGGGGGCAGCCGGACCTCCACCGCGAGCTCCAGATCCCAGTGGGCACTGCCGGACCTCAACCGCGAGTTGCAGATCGCAGTGGGCACTGCCGGACCTCAACCGCGAGCTCCAGATCCCAGTGGGCACTTCTGGACCTCAACCGCGACTTCCAGATCCCAGTGGGCACTGCCGGACCTCAACCGCGAGCTCCAGATCCCAGTGGGCACTGCCGGACCTCAACCGCGAGCTCCAGATCGCAGTGGGCACTGCCGGACCTCAACGGCCAGATAGAATGCCAGAAGATATGCCAGATAGAATGCCAGAAGATATGTCAGATAGAATGCCAGAAGATATGCCAGACAGAAGGACAGAAGATTTGCCAGAAGATTTGCCAGATAGAATGCCAGAAGATATGCCAGAACATATGCCAGAAGATATGCCAGATAGAATGCCAGAAGATATGTCAGATAGAATGCCAGAAGATTTGCCAGTAAGAAAATGTATAAATGCCATGGTGGGGACCATTCGAAGTGAAGTAATTATGTTATTTTCCATATTCTCATGTTTAATGGTGAAATGTCCCTTATAATGTTGTCTGACCAATAGTGATATCTTGTCAATAGTAGAAACATTTGTCCGCAACTCCAGTTTTATCTCCAATACTAAAAGTCAATTAGCTCCATTTACTTTTAGTATTGCCAAAACAGTCATGTTCAGACCTTGCCCAGAGGGCATGGCCAATAGTGGGCCCAACATGGCAATAGTGGAAACTTTTTTTCCAACTCCAATTTTTCTCCAATACTAAAAGTCAATTAGCTCTATTTACTTTTAGTATTGCCAGAAGAGCTCGGAAAACCCAAACCCCAACACTCAGACTTTTGTCCTCAGAGAGGTGGCAGATGAGGTTCGATCAGAATGTCCAGCTGAGTTTCCAACTCCCATCTGATCCTGCTCTTCAGCACAGCGTAGGTACATTCACCAGATGAATGAACATACCCTCTGCCGTCCTTCCCACTTCGATACAGGGTCAGCTCTTTTTGGAGGTTCATGGCAGATCTTGTCAGAACTCTGCTCTGGACGTCTGGGTTGTACATGTCAGACCCAGCAGGGGCAGCAGACTCAGCAGAGTAGCCCAGACACATGGCAGGCCGATCAGACAGAGGTCGATACAGAGGCAGGCAGAAGACAGAGCCAGAGCCAGAGCCAGAGTGCTACAAGCCATATCTTCCTATGCAGATTCTAACAGAAAGCAACACGGCCCCATGCAGAATCCATGCATATCCCATCAGAAGCCAAACCAAATCCATACAGAATCTAACAGAAACCAACCCTAATCCATGCAGAACCTATGCAGAACATCTCAGAAATCCAACCAAACCCTATGCAGAATCTAACAGAAACCCAACAAAACCATGGAGAATCTATCAGATACATATCATGATCCCAGCTATAGATTCCCAAAAAATATTATAGGAAGGTTGACCCCCCCCCTTAAAAAAAAAATAGGGGGGTAATTACTATTAGGCAGCCAACATTAACCATATTTTTTGGATGGTTCACATCAAATCACCATGTTTTGTTGGTTAAATCTGATTTTTGTTGGCTAAATTTGCCTATATAAATTCTCATGTCCGTTGGTCAAATCCCACGAATTCAAACCAAACATGTGTAAAACCCAGAAAAATAAATTCGCACCAGCAGGCCCAAACATCGAATTCCGATGCCTTCCCTAGCCAAATAAGCAAAATTTGGTTACTTGATGTCCTTAAATCCACCCGTTTTTGTTGGCTAAATCCACCTGAGCCTCTCAGCTCTGGCATTTCACCAGGCTGAGAAACCAGGGAAGGATGTGTTAATGGACAAAAGCTTGTAGTTGCGCTCGGCCAGAAAGCACATTAGTATACATTAGTACCCATATGCTCCACGGTGCTGGTATGTGCTGGTATATTTACCTACAAAACTGGATGATTTTGGGGCTAAATGTTGATACATATTCCAGCACCATGGTTCGCATATGGGGTATACATTACCCTCTGGTAAACTAACATAGCTATTGGACATGGCCATAGAAATAGTGGATTTACCCATTAAAAATGGTGGATCTTTCCATAGTTACGTTAGTTTACCAGAGGGTACTTCTTTGAATACATGGATCATATTAAATCATTGTAAATCACCTAGAAATGTACCCGACATTAGTATACATTAGTATCACAATGGAAGACAGTCGTCAACCCCGATCCGTGGATACCCCCTCGCTGCCGAGCTGCACTCCGCATTCGCCCCACAGGTGGTCACGGAAATCCACACCGACGTACCCAGCTCGCGGATCTGCACCGACCTCGTAGACACCGAAGCGAAAAAAGGAGATTTCTACCATGCATGAAATATATGGATTTGATCCAGAAAAAATCAGGGAAAATGGAAGTGTTTTCCGCAAGAAATTGGGATTCAACTAGAAGAAAAGGTGAGATGTTCATCATTAATATCCCCAATTGGAGGATCATCCTACTTAGTATCTGGCCCAAAACCCTTATGCGAGTTACGGTCCCCAGTTCAAATGGGCTACAACATGTTGCAACTATAGTTTACTAACCAATTATGGTTCGTGGGATTATCCTCGTATAGAATTTTCATGCCGCAAGCCAGGGTTCAATGTTCAATGTGATATGTGGGGATCTAGTAGGGCGAGTGGCATATATCATCATACCAGAAATCAACAAGTCATAGGGATGCAATAAGGATATGGACACAGACCCTTAGGTCATCAAACGCAAGGTGTCCAAATATCAAAAACGCTGTGAGAAGAAGTGATGGACCTATGGGAAGTCTCACGAATCCTAATGTATATCCCTCGTTTTATGAAAGAGGGATACCCTCTGGTAAACGTACAAAAAACTATGGAAAATCACAATGTTTAATGGGTAAATCCACTGTAAATCGCAATTTTCAATAGCTATTTTGACATAACCAGAGGGTAGGTACGGTTTTCATGCACTCATAACTGGCCCCAAAAAACCTAGAGTTACGAAGTGAGATGAGCCACGAAGTACAAGGGGATAAAGAAATGCAATAAATGGAATATATGGTGGTTTAATATGGTTTATACAATGGGATTTTTAACGGGGATTTAACAAATACAAATGGGGATAGTACTGGAACTCTGATCATTTCTTGCACTTTGCGAAGTGGAAGCTGTGACTCAGCTATAATTTGATGTTTTGCTGGTAGGTCGACTCAAATT